GAAACTTGACCCGTATTTACTTCCGTACTATCATTTGTTTACTGTAAACAAAATGGCTTACTTGCCAAAATTTGACTCTTTGTGTATAGGCATGTGTACACTAGCTGGTGTGTTACGCCGAAGGGCGGTTATACTGGCTATACCCATACAGATATAGATACAGATATGTTACTGTATACGTAGTATAGTAGTATGTACCAAGAAGACTGTATACACATGCATACATGTTGAGACATGTACAAGTAGATTCAGGGCTTGAAATACTTAATATCTGTTGTCTATGTGTTTCATAATATGACTATTATCAGCTTGCCAAATAGAGAATGTGAATTGATATATGTTACCTGCAATCTAAAATGTCTGCATGGTATGCATCTCCATCCCTTACTATCCAGTTTAACTGATATTAATAATAGGATCTAGAATAGGATCATTGTAATATACCTTTGTTTTTCTTCTGTTCAGATGTATACAATTAACCTTGATATTGTTTATTGTTTAAACATTGTCCTATTGATTTGAACCATACCCAAAATAAACTTGCTGTGGTGTGTAAACTAGCCCATAGCTTTTACAACAGGGTTCAAAGTACTTACTAGTGTTATTTTACAGGATTCAAACTCCCAACCTTTTGGTCCAGATAGTTTAAACACTAGACCACAGCAGGATATTTTACAGTCACTTTGATGAATTCTTAGGTAACGTGCAAAAATCATTGGTTATCAGATATGCAAATTGTTCTTCAGATCCTGCTTTAGATATAGTTCACCTTTGAACTGCATCATAACGATGATTTATTAATATAACATAAGATAAATGTATGGTAATAGATGCATGAAAAAGATAAGGTATACTAAATGTCCACTAGAGTAAACTAAAATACCTTTAAAGGCTTAGCAGTAGATGATTTATTTTTCAGATAAGTCAGTAAAATTTAAGACTGGAAGATTTAATTGATTACTGATTGTTGAAATTGACCTCGCAGTAGTTTATGAATCATAAGTTATCAGCTTTTTTATCATGGAATGGTAAAATACTACGGAAACTCAGATGGCTTTATCCAGTGCTAGTGCTCCTCTTTCCGGAGCATTGTGTGCTAAAATTCACTCACCTTTGTGTCAGTTATATGAACAGTCAGTAGGGAGAAGGTGAACGCGGTGTTAGAAATAATCATGTTGAACGTTTGAGTCTTGTTATACAAACCTACAGCTATTGTACCCAGTAACCTAACATTTTGGCTCCTAAATACAGAACTGGAATTATGCCAAAATTCTCCTTTCTATCAGCCATATTGTAACGACTGAAATGCTAGCGATAAACCTGTTACATGAAGATGAAATAAGCACCTATCTTAAATTTTCCATGATTACGTTAAGGTTGACTTTGATTCTGGAAGGATTTCGACAGATTTTATTACAGTAAATACCCTAAAACCATCTCCAGTGATGCCACCTACGGTTCGTACTTACAAGAAATCAATGATGTTCAATTTCTAAAGACAAATCAGTCATGAAATGCATTTCTGGTCACATGCATAGTTTATATCCACTGGGTCAATTGAGTGATAAACCCATGAGCGTCATCCCATTTTTAAAACCTACAATCCAAGCAATGGTTTCAAAGACTTATCTTTTTTTCAGATTGATTGTTATGGTATTGCTGTACCTTAAAGAAAATGCTGCATTGATAGAAATCCAGGCAAGCCTCAGATATATATTGCCAGGGCTCAAAACAAAACTTGTTTTTGCAGGTTAGTGCAGGTAAAATTGAAGCTGTGCAGGTATTTCTGATGTCTACAACCTAACCTGCGCTCATGTACTGGGTATATATTGCTTTATGCTGACCACCTGTGTATTGCTATATTTTGCATTAAGTGTAAATGAATGTTGGCAATGTGGGCTTGTAATTCTGAAAATTGCTTAAACATTTACCTGTTCATGTACGTTTATTTTATTTAGGGTTCTTCCATTGAGTTATGGTCACGGTCTTGTTGCCACACATCATTACCATATTGGTAGGGAGTCCAAAATCATCAAGTGTTCTGGTCCCTTAGAAGAGTATATTCTGTTTAGCATAAAGAGGATTTTAATCTTACTTAGAGACAATTGTAACAGTGACAGATCAAGTGTAAAGAGAGTTGGACTAGCAGCCATCTGACTGAACATGTACCACTGGCTATTCTCACTGGAAAATCAATTAGTCCTGATAGAAATTATCTGGCTTATGTATGAGTGATTGACTCTATTAACGTAAGGTCAAGTTAAACCATTTCGCTCACGAGATGTTTGATTCGATGTGGGTCAGTTCAGGCATACTGACTGTGCCATAAATTGTAACATCATCACAAACCATATCTTGATTTATTATGATACGGCAGTCGTGTTGGCCTTTGAGAAATCAGGTATAATTTACAATCTCAATCTTTGCTTGCTTAGCACTTCCAAAGGGTGTAATCTGAATCAAGTAAAATGCATGTCGTATTTTGTACTATAGTAGGCTAGGGATTAGACAAATTATGTAAGCAGAATTTTAAAGGAATCAGTTACAGTTCTCCTTGACCAGATTGTAGGGACAGATCTTATTTCAAATTTCTTCATGTAAACAAAATGCTTGCCTTACAACACTTAGCTTCCAATAAGCCATGACTTACATACTTGTGAAAATACACAGTGTTATACCTGTATGTAATTACATACATCGGCCATTTGGGAAAAAGGATGGACATGATTCTAATGCAAAAAGAATTTGGACACAACAGTCATATTTCAGCAGCTGTTTCTTGGAAAGATTGGTGACATTTGTAACATTGACCCTCGCTAACCTTACCACCTGCACACCTTATGTGCAGGATATATGATACAGTATTAGGCAAATGAGTAAGCAAAGAAAGCTACTGTCAAATTCCCTAGCCAGGAAATGGGACAGGTGGGAAAGAAATCAGGAATAGTATTAGAAAAAGACAGAAAGTGGATTCTATGTCGCTTAGTTTATAGGAAATGAAGTGTCTGGTCTTGTGTCTCAGTTTGTGGTACAATCTTGCCACTTTGTCTGCATACCTTTTTCTGTGAGGCAATTCAATTCAATTCACTGTTAATTGTAGCTGGCTGTGTTAATGATAAATATTGCTGGGAAATTCTTTGTGAAGCATAATTGGTCAATTTAATTTCACCAAACTTAATTGTTATTTGTTAATTGGCCGATTTAATTTCACCAAGCATCATTGTTAAGTGTTATTGAGGTATTCTTTGTATCATGTAGTCGAATGTCAGATTGCCCAAAAATCATTATAACGTAGCACCCAAGGCCAAAAGACTAGTTTTCCCAGACACCCCATGGATAAAACAAATTGTCCCCAAAAACTTACTGTTAACCGTTACCGGCCTGCCAGAATTTCCCATTAAGCATCACCAGGATCCCCCTATGTAGACCCTCCAAGATGGCTACAAGTTATATTGAAACTGAAAGGAGCCCTTGGAAGGAGACTGGGACTTTGATTATTAAAGGTGACACGACATGAAGCAGCTGCACTTCTGCTCAATATCAGAAAATGGTTAGACAGGTTTTAGGGTATTGGTTAGTCTAAATCCATTTGCTGCATGTACGTGTTTGGCATGATGATTTGTTTTTTATCACACTTAGACAAAGGTACATTCACAAAGCAAGGGTTCAGCATGTAATCAATTCAAAAATAGGTGAAATTGTTTTTCTTACATGCAAGCATTACTTTATTTTATTCACGACAATTTGCTTGATATGATATGACTGTGAGGAGCGGTTTTAGTATTTATTGTGTGTGGAAGGAACATCAGAAACATAAGTTTGCCCATTTGAAGTGGTGTTTAGTTTGTACTTACATGTATATTTAAAGACTGTTGTGTTTCCCTTGCACAAAATTGCCATTCTTACAGACAAGTAATGTACATCTAACAGGTGCATGTCAGGGTTAAAGGTTTAGCCCTGGTGTCGCTATCAAGAGGACTTTTTTCTGCTTTAAGCAGCTCATGTAACTTTATCCCCTTTCCTTTGTGCTGACAAGGTGTGTACGCTATAGAGTGGGATTGTTTGGCCAGCCCACTATATGTCAATCCAACCATGGCACACTGCCAACAAAAACTGTACAGCCAGTCTGGACACAGTCTGGCCCTGCTCTCCTCCCCATATTTCACAGTAGTTCATCCCAGTAATGAGGAGGGTGTACTTAGTGTCATTTCGACTGTACCACATGGATTGTTTTTAGGGGGGAATTTCTGGAATTTTAAATGCTTGCACTCAAAGCTTAGCTAACAATCCTTGAGTTTACAATTTAATCACAGCTAGCAACGTTTGCTTTGTAGTTTCACAACACTGCCAATAATGCAGTGTACGAGTAGCTGTTGATAGTATTAAAAATCACCCCGGGGTAAGATTAGTAGTCAGAGGTGAGCGCTAACAAGCCGAAACACCTGCCTGTTAAAGTGTGGATTAACCCGGGGGTTTTCACCTGTGTTGTGCCTCTGTTTACCCTTACCAGGGAGATGTTTGTTTTAGGCGCCATCGGAAAACAATATTCTGTCGACAGCCCTAATCAGGGTTGCCGGGATAAGGCTTATTGTTGTTCCTGAATGGTGGAACAAGTAAGAGTTGTCAAACACAAAATAGTGGAGACAAACTGTGTGCTATGCACTGACTTAGTAACAGTCTCACTATTGTTGAATGTGAGTCTGGATTATTTTAAGAGCCCCTTCTGTAAGTGTTAACGGATGCAGTCTGGTAGTTAACTTTACTTTGCATTTAAATGTTTCAAGTCTCTTAGAGAGATGCAAAATATTAGAAGGTGGATAGAGCATTAAAAGAAATTGCATAGCTAGGAAAGATAAGGCGTGTTTGCAACAAATTTGGATATTTACACTTTTTAAACAGAGGAGAATTCACATAAGATCTGGAATGAACACACATTCAACAGTGTAAGGAATACAAAAGGTGATTTTAAAGTTTATATATATTGTGTTATCTTTTGCCAGTGCCGGTCCAAAAGGAGACAACCTGTATGAATGGGTGTCCACCATCCTGGGGCCACCTGGGTCTGTGTACGAGGGCGGAGTTTTCTTCCTGGACATCCACTTCTCACAAGACTATCCCTTCAAACCTCCTAAGGTGAGCCGTGGCTGCTGTTGGACATTTTATCAAGACCTTAGAATGATCTGTCGTAATTGATCCTCAGAAAGAAACGAAGTGACACGACTGTTAATTTGTGCCTGCCCAGGTGACATTCCGGACTCGTATCTACCACTGTAACATCAACAGCCAAGGTGTGATCTGTCTGGACATACTGAAGGACAACTGGAGCCCCGCCCTCACCATCTCCAAAGTCCTACTGTCCATCTGCTCACTGCTAACTGACTGCAATCCTCGTAAGTAAAACCTCTTTGGAAAAGACTGGGATTTGAAAAAAAACATCATGTTTATAGCAAAGAAGATTCTGAATATTCCAAATTCTTCTGACATATGCGGGGAATATGGGGAATATCAATAATAGATTATCTTGCCTCTTGACTTTAACGACGGCTTTTGTGGTTATGATAATCGTTCTAACATTGCTGAAGTGCAGGGAGTGATTAATATCTTGCATTGATCTAAAGGTATTAAAAGTGCAGAGTGCCCGGGGATATAGTATCATTAGGTAGATGATAATTTCGTAGATATTGATGTGTAATATGCATGTAATGGTACCCTGTAATGCGGGCTATAACAGCAGATGCATACAGCTAATCAGTGTTCTAGCAAGTGTCTTTCGGTTAAATCTGACAGAATTTTGCTGCTCATGACAGACAAAAATTTTGCTCAATCCATCTTCTTTGAGGAACAAAAGTCAGTGTGTGAAGATATAAACAGAGATGTCACATATACTAAGCTTTGAATGGCCCTGTTTGGCACAACCCCTCATGCCTTTGGCACTCAATATGATGAGGGAAAAGAATTTCAGGATGGCTGGAAAACTGCACCCAATCAAGGCTTTTTTTTTACTTCATAGAATATTGTACTTTCATTTTAGAGTCACACTTTACCCATGCACCAATGTTTTTCCTTTTACTCTAACTTTGATACACTGATTTACATGGAAATGTTATTGTAAAAAAAAAACTGTACATCCAAAAAATAACATCGTTATTCTTGTTATTTGCAGATGATCCTCTTGTTGGTAGCATTGCGACGCAGTACACCAACGCACGGGAGGAGCACGATAGGATAGCTCGCCAGTGGACAAAGAGATATGCTACATAGAATCATGTTATGCTTCATTGACAACACATGTAAAACCTGCTATGTACTACCTAACCTTTGTAAAGGTATACTGCATTGTTTTGTGGTATATAAGCAGGCTTTTAGCTAGGATTTTTTTGTTGGGCGTCCATTTTTTGCATTGTATGCTATGCTCAGCAAAGATGCACGGTGCACAAGCTTTTTAGGGGGCCTTTTTTGAAAGTCAAAATGCTCTCAAACACTACTTTTTGTATTTTGAGGTACAAATTTTGAGGAATTTGAGTTTTTCTCCTTCAGTAAACTATCATTTTTGTATTTATAGTAAGGCTGAAGGGAGGCATGTGTGCATGGCAGGGGTTGGGAGTGGAAAAAAACAGGGCGTCTTTAGGGTGTCCTACCAAAAAGTATGGCGTCCAATTTCTTAGTATTTTCAGTACAGGGCGTCCAAAAGACACCCTGGACACCCCTAGCTAAAAGCCTGTATATAAGTAAAATAAGCATTGTATTTGTTATTGAGCATAAATGTAGGTCAGTGGTAAATGAATTCAGTTCTCTTTATGAAGTATCACCTTTTGTCAAAGAGGGGATTCCTTAAAAATTGGTATTCTTAGTTCTATATTGTAAGGTACAGAATTGATCATGTGGCATCTGTATGACTTAGAAGTTAGATGTATTTGTGTCGCATACTTCACCCCAGTTCATTTTGTAATTGCATTGAATGGCACTGTTATGTTTAAAAAGTAAGCAAGAAGTCAAAGATTGTATATCTACACCACTGCCCTGTAACAAGTATGCTTACAAGGTATTGCCAAACATTTACGCATGATAATATGTTGAAAAGCAGTTACTTGAAGAGTCCTGTCATACAAAATGTAACCTTGCAAAGAGGCACATGATTATTAATAATAGCATTAGAAACAGCCAAATGTCTACCTATGCTTCTGACACAGTTAGGCAACTTTTCATGTACACGTTGTATACCTTTATGCCCACTTATCTCTCTAGTAGAATGTATTTCTCAGCATAGAAAATGAATGAATGAGTGCACATAGTCAATTACAGTATACCATGGTGTTTGTCAATGAGTTAGGCGGATCAAGCCATGCATTCTTGTCAACCTCTGTTCACTGCAGCAGTACTTTATTTATTGGATTTAGCTTTGCACTGACAACTGATCAGTCATATCTGATCACATGATAGTTCCTACAGTCACCTTTGACCACAGCTGCCACATGTGTGGCTTGTATGTTTCACGTAAACTATATATGACATTTAGGTTTATACTGTCATACATGCAGTTTTGTCCAACTTTGTTCAAAGAAGCCGTGTTTTGAGCAAACAACAGTTCTGAGGAATAAGAGGAATAAGAACTTCCCACAGAAGCAAATTGTTTTGTGGATTTAGCCTGGTGCAATTATTGGCTGTCATTGTAATACACTTGTGGATTTATAGTGGCAGGTGCTAAGTATAGTACGTCGGCAGAAAGTACTGTGCCTTTGCGAAGCCCGTAATGTATTGTGCATAGCACTTTGGCAGAACATCTTGTTTAAGGTCTTATTTGGGTATTAAGGATGACATCCTGTGTATAAGTTTTCAAATGTTGTGTCAGAAAAGATATTGTCTGCAACAGGCAAAATTCTGAAGCAATGTTGACCAAACATCCAACAAAAACCATGAAAAATCCATGTATCGTGCAGGTGCAGTACATTCTGCTGACATGCTGTTAAGTATATGTGAATGCAGGATATACCTGTACATTTGTCCATTGATATCGCCCAGTCCCTGTTCTCATTGCTAGGCAAAGACAAGAATCCGAGTACCAAGTACTTAATGCTTCAGCATTTAGCATTGAATTTGAATAAACTTTTGTAACTGTATATTTGCACAACTAGTTCACCATAATTACAGCATAACAATTTGCCAACCAATATACTTGCTGAAAAGTACCAAATACTTGGAGCAACGTGGAAAAAAATTCAAGGTACATGTAATATTCCATGGATTAAACAGCATCATAACTAATGTAGTACAACTTCACTCTTTTGAAATAGAAAGATTTTTGTGGAGTATTTAAGTAATATGCACATAATGTTTAGTACATGTATTTCATTTACTATCATGTAAGGTAGCAAAATGGTATTGAAGTCTGTAATAATGTGTTCTGATAATGTACATAATTAAGATTTGACTCATTATGCCAAACTGTAACATGGAATAAACGTTACTATAGACTGCAATCCAATTGTTGCTTTTCATTCTTTTCTTAAGTGGTCTGCTTTGACCAACTTTAAATCTTACCTTGAATATTAGAATGTGATCTTAGTTTTTACTGGGTTTAAACCATTAACATGGTACAAGATGTCATATTGTAGCCTAGTTGGTAAAAAAAGTTGCAAAAGGTCTTTTTATTTTAAAATCGTCAGCAATGAATGCATTTGTTTCAAACTCAAGTTTCTTTGTGAAATTAGATAAACTTTTAGAAAATAATAATTTTAGGATGCCTTCATATTTCATGATTTATTGTTCCTAGTTTGTATTGTTTACTCTTTAACACTTTAATCTGATGTCCAAGTTGATAGTAATATTATTGATATTACATGTAGTTATAGGTCAACTATAGGTCAACTTAGCCTTAATTCATTGTCAGGATAACCTGTCCTTTTGGTGTATGAGGGTTTTGGTCTTAGGTTCTGAGATGACATCATCCGACAGTGACCGGACTCTTAAAGTCACGTTAGAATTTCCTCAAAATGTTCAGATAAAACCCCCAGCTGATTCATAAGCGCGTCATACGTGGTTTCTATGCGTCATGAGGGGGAAATTCCACCTGATTCCCCGGGAATCCCCCACTTCTCGCGAGACCGAGCGAGAGTTGGTGCGAGACTTTCTGATCCCGGGAAAAATGTCGTCCGAAGAAGTCGAGAATATGGAAACGGAGGCCGACTGTGAACCCACTTCTGTCGGGTAAGTCAACCTTCTTCCCTCGAGATTGTCCGGTTAGGAAGTAGTCTATACCCTCCCTGTCCACCAAGCAGTGTCTAATTAGTCAGCCTGAGGGAATTCACACTTGAACAGACCGTAAAACTAAAAGGGCACACGCGTCGACCGGCCTTTAGTTGTCGTAACTTCCTTCCTCAGGTTTTCTAGAACCTTCGATAACCCCGCGTGTGGGTCACGAGGGACTGTAAGGCCTCACAAGACTTTTCCCGAATTTCTTGGCGCCGAATCAAGATGTTACCGCTTTTGTAATCTAGCCAAGACACGTACACGTCCGCTATTTTAGTCAGAAAATCTGCAAGTTAGACTTTTCATCGTGCCCCCCTCCCCATCCCCGCGGTTCTTTTTATCAAATCTCTGGCGGGAAAACTTCCTTATACTCCCGATTTCCCGATTTTCCCGCTATGGTTAGGTTTGACGGAGGGGTGACCGGTATGCCGAACGGTACAGTGGAGACATCACCCGTCAACGAGGCAAAAAAGATCGTCCTCGACCACGAAGAAGACTCAGAAAGCCAACGTGTCAAGTAAGGATATACCGTATCGACCGTGATGTTGATTTTTGTTTGTTTATCCTTTTGTTTAGGTGGCTGAAGCATGGGGTTTCTGTGGTGATGGCGAGTGACATTTCTTTTGCTGTCAAACACACACTCTAACTCAGTTTACCCTTTGACATACACATGTAAATTATGTATGCAGCAAACAACAGTACAGTAATACTATAGTACTATGGTACTACTTACTACTTACACAGTTACATGTTGAAAGGGTCACTTTTACTTACATAAATATGTACTTAAGTCAATCCCTATACATTCAGGCTGACAAAATCTTGCGCCAACTACATGTATTTGATACCCATATCTCCACCACCACCAGCCAGCCCGCGTCTGTACTACTACTAACTACCAAGACTATCCACTTTTCAAAGTTGACATTCTCAAATCTATCCACTTTTCAAAAGTTGACATTCTCAAATCTACAGACTACACTTACTAGTATTTTTATAATGTAACTTGAACTATCTTGGGTTCAAAGTACACCACCATCTTGAAAGGGTATGTATTAGTGGTACATTGTATTATGTGCTGTAAAAATACAACATCAAGATTGTGGTGGTAACGAAATCACAAGACTGTTTGCTGGTTGTCTTGTACCTGTATCTAGAAAACTGTCAGGTCCAGGTCCAAAATACCAGAACGTCACTCAGGTCCAGGTGCTAACACTCAATTATACCTTTATTTGTCATCAAAAATAGTTCACTGAATCTTACCAATCTTCTCACAAAGATGACAACTAAGCACAAGAAACAGAAATAGAATAAATTATCATTTGGAGATAAGAAATGTGTGAACGTGAAGTTTGAACCCTTTAGCAAAGATGAAAATTCACCACAGAAAATATGTTTTATTTTAGCACATAAAATACATAATATAACACACCCTGGTAATTGACCAAACTTGTCTAGGTTTGTGCTTATTTCTTTCCAAAAATTAATACATTTTGTACAAGTGCAGACAATTTTGCTAGGTCCACCCCCGCATCTTATTCGACAAGGATATTGTAACTTTATTCATAAAGCATTCAAAATCATATTACAGCATACAGTGCAAAGATACCTAATATTAATTGCATTCAAATTATTTTTGCCATTTAGTCTATTTTTTTTTTCTTTATTTTCATGATGCATTTCATCTACACACTGTACACAAAAATAAACATCATGTCATAACAATAGTGGATGTAGCCTACCTCCAACTACAGGATTTCAGATTTGTTATGCGATTTGACAGCCTGATACACTCGCTCACTGACTCACACTCTCACTGTCCTCTGTTTTCCACATCTGGCAAGGGTTAGCTGTGTTTTGCACATTCATGTCTGGCTTGGTGGCAGCCTGCCAGGTGGCCCTGTACTGCAGGTAAACACTGTATAGGTTGAAGAGTTGCCAGTCTGTACATGGTCGTTCCCATGGGTTTGGCCTTTCTGGGCCACTTCTCTTCATCCAGTCTCTGCGTGAAAAAGTGTCATTAGAAAATGGATTAAAAGTACAGACAGGGCTCGAAATGCCACCTGCATATGCAGGTTAGTGCAGGTAAATTTAGAGCCTTGCAGGTACATTGTATTTCTGATGTCAACCTGCAACTAACCTGCACTGGTCAATGTACATGTACATGTATATACAACTGTAGGTGTATGTGTATTTTCAGCTGTATTGACAGTCAGACTGCATAGGTGTATCATGTTTATGTGTATTTTCAGCT